GGGAAAAGTCCTTTACTGCCCGTACAGCATGTAAGAGAAAAAGAAGCCATGCACACTGGATCAAATCTATGGCGTCGGATGTCATCAAGACCAGTGTCAGATTGCACAGGACGCCATGGATGTCGGACCAAAAGGACATGTCAACGACTAGCCACGGAGATTGTCTTATGCACAGCACCTACAATGCCAGGATAGTCTCCACCAAAGCTGATCTTCACGCCTTCTCGAAGCTGCAGGAGCTACCACGTAATCGCCTTGCAGGAAACAAAGGGAAGAAGGACGTGAGGCAGCTGAGTGATGGCACACTCATCATTCATGGTGAAAAGGTTCCATCACAGAACATTGGAGGCGTTGAATTTGTAGTACACCTATCTGTTGTACATCTTGTCGATTCGCATGCGATCCTATCACCTCGCCTGGTTATTCTTCAACTCTGTCTATCATCAGAAAACCATCACTATCACCAACTGCTGTTCTCCAATATCAGCAGCAGATAATTGGAAAATTGATACTTTTTATGAGGATTTGCAGAAGTCATCCGTAAAGAAAATCCTTCTATAAGTTTGTCGTGAGTGACTTCAATGCGAAAATCGAGTTGTCAGAAGAAGGGGAGCAAGGATCGGGAGATTTGGATCAAGACTCCGGAATGAAAAATGATAACCGTCTTGTTGGGCTCTTAAACCGCACGACTTTCTCATGACAACTCCATTTTCATGAAGAAACAACACTGGCGGTGGACATGGTCCCCAACGGTACGACATATGCGATGATCGACCACCAAAGGTGGTGCCTACTGGACGTCTTAGTGGTACCATCCTTCAGCAGTGGTTAGATCACCAAAAATGCGATTCAGCCGAAAGCTGGAAAAGAAGATCTGTCACCGAGGAAGGAGGAAAATCGTATATCGAATATCGTATACGCCAGGTGGGAGAGCTCTTGACCACTTGTGAAATGCCCATCGAGAAGGACCCAACGAAGGACTACAATCTGTTTCTCAGAGAATGAACGCAGCGAAAGCACCTCAATGTTTGGAATAAAGAACTTGGGACATATTTTGAAAGCTATCAAGGACCTACTGGAGAGGAGAGCACTGAGGCTCGATCCGACTGCATCACATCTCGAGCGACTGGCAGCTTACGACAGTTGCAGAACAGCTTTAATAGATTTGCGAAAGTACAGGCAATCGAAACTTTTAGAAGTAGCACAAGGAAGGAGAAGTCTGAAGAAGTACCGCAGGGATATTCTCGACTATCGTGTTCCGCTGACAACATTTCTAAACGAAGAAGGGCTCGCACATCATCCCGACAAAAGATGGAATCGATCAAGAAGAAATTCTACACCAATCTCTTTTGCTCGTCAACACTCGTGCCAAACCTCGCCTACGCGAGATACTTGCGGAACATAAGTACTTCTAAAGACAGGATCTCCGACCAGTAGAGAACCTCCCGAACAATCCCTCTTCATAAGAAAGGCGATAGGGAAGATTTTTGGAATTACCGTCCAATATGCCTGCTGAGCACGCTTTACAAGCTCAAAGATTATTCTCGCTCGCATGCCAAGGATATTGGGTCCAACCTTAAGTCCAACCACAAGTCCAACCTGCAGAACAAGCTGGATCCAGACAGTTTCGAGGATTATCAAGTTTTTTTCCGAGAGTGCCCCTGCTTCTCATCCTAACCTTCGTTGACTATAAAGCGTTTGATAACGTCGATACTAATGTCATACTGTAAGCGCTCATCGACTAAGGGGGAGAGGACCCATCTTAGTGAGGA